AAGAGGGTCAGTAAAGTTCATGAACTGGCAATATTTTATCATTGGAACGATGGTATGACTGTTCGACTAGCTACTGGCCACCTCAGAGGTAATGCACGAAAGTGGTATGGCGCATTAAATAAAGTGTGTATAACCTGGTCTGAAATGAAAGCACTTCTTTTGGACACTTTCCCAAGCAATATATTCAATTCGGTAAGTTGTTGGTCGAGGCAGCTACATACACTTCATCCCCTGGACAAAATTTAAATAGTTATTGCTTTGAAAAAGTTTCGAAATTGAGAAATTTAGGTATTTCAATCCCTGAACACTACCTCGTCGACAGTGTAATTCAGGGTATTACTAATACAAACATCCAACTATCAGCCCGGGCGGCTGAATTCCGTAGCATTGGACCGTTGGCCGCGTATTTACAAAACATTGCGTCAACCGAAAAGTCAATAAAGGAAGTACAGGAATAGAACAGCAAAGACCGACAAAAAATGCAAATTTCCCAAAGTAAACTCCCTAAACCTCATTCGGTAACAGTTCTAAAAATGAAAACGTTTACGTAAAAACTGGCTTTATTAATGCGCAAAAAGTACAATGCTTAGTAGACACTGGTAGTACGTGCACTTTGATGAAAAAGTCAGTCGCTAAACACGTACATTCAAAACAAACTGAAGGAAAAAATGTTACTATCAGGTGTTTCATGGGCAATGAAATAACAAGCAACACCACTTCGAATGTGGCAGTCAAGATTGACGACGTTATCGTCGAAGTAAACACTATTATAATCGACGATGTTTATTTACCGTATGATGTCATAATTGGAACTGACTTTTTGAACCAACCACATGTATCATTCACAAAAAGTGCCACGGGATTTGTTTTAAAAAGGTTGCCTCCTCTTTCTAATAAATTCGAGTCATTCAATTGTAATACTATAAGCACCGTTCGAGATGCTGATTTTGATATTTTTGACATTGGAAATTTAACAGAGGCGGAACGTTTACGTACTTTAAATTTATTAAAGCAATATAGGGATTGCATATCGTTTACAATGAATGATTTAGGGAAAACAAACGCCATCGAAATGCATATCAAGTGCACCACGGAAGAGCCAATCGTATACCGACCGTACAGAATGTCACAATCAGACAAAGACATACTGACGCAAATGATAAATGATTTGTTATCGAACCAGATTATCCGCGAATCTCCTTCCCCTTACGCGAGCCCAGTATTACTTGTCAAAAAGAAAACTAATGACTACCGTATGTGCATTGATTATCGCAAATTAAACGCGGTAACGATAAAAGACAGGTACCCACTACCACTCATAAGTGACCAATTGGATAAATTAGGCGGAAGCAAATATTTTATAAGTCTAGACCTCGCTTCTGGGTTCTACCAGGTGCCAATGGCCCCTGACTCTATAGAGAAAACAGCGTTTGTCACTCCCGAATCCCATTACGAGTTTTTGCGAATGCCTTTTGGCCTCACAAATAGCCCGGCGGTTTTTCAAAAATTAATTAACACAGTTTTGGGAAATTTGAAACAGTCAATAGCACTTCCCTACATTGATGACATAATAATCCCTTGTCCAAATTTTGATGAGGGGTTATCCAGGCTTTCTCTAGTGTTAGAAGCCTTTAGAAAGAATAATTTAACGTTAAAACCCACGAAATGTTCATTTTTCAAGACCAAAATTGATTACTTAGGCAATGAAATCAGTGAGTTAGGAGTACGCCCCGGAAAATCCAAAATAAATGCAGTCTTAGCTATGAAAGAGCCTCAAAGTATTAAAGAGGTGAGGCAGTTTTTGGGTTTATCGGGATATTTCCGAAGGTTTGTAAAGAACTATGCAAACATTGTAGAACCACTAACACGATTGTTAAGAAAAAATGTACCGTGGACCTGGTCACAAGAACAGAGCCAAGCGGTTCAGAAAATCAAAACGACACTAACCAAACGACCTATTATTGGTATATTTGATCCGACCATGGTAACCGAACTTCACACCGATGCTAGTTCTGTAGGTTTCGGTGCAATCTTAATGCAAATAAACAAAGATGAGCGGTATGTTATTGCTTTCTACAGCAAACAAACGACCCCAGAACAGCGACTTTATCACTCCTACGAATTAGAGACACTCGCGGTGGTTTTGGCTTTAAGACATTTTCGAGTGTATCTGTTAGGAATACCGTTTCGGGTTTTTACGGATTGCAATGCTCTGCGTACCACTTTCATAAAAAGAGACTTACTGCCAAGAGTAGGGCGTTGGTGGTTGGAGGTTCAGGATTTCAATTTTAGTATTGAGTACAGGCCAGGATCAAAGATGAGCCATGTCGACGTTTTAAGCCGGCACCCTGTAGACACTGCCGAGGAGGTGTGTAACGTAAATTTAACCGAAGGGGACTGGATCTTAACAGCCCAACTTCGGGATGAAGAGATCAGTAGAGTACGGAAAATTTTGCAAGATAAACCAAACAACGATACTAAGCAATATTTTGAAACCTATGCACTACGAGACGGAAAGGTATATCGAAAAATTGACGAAGAGAATGTTGCTTGGGTGGTGCCAAAAACTTGTAGGTGGCAAATATGCAGACTGTGCCACGACGAGTCGGGCCATTTTGGCCTAGAGAAAACTTTGCATAAAATAAAAGAAAACCATTGGTTTGCGCATATGCGACAGTTCGTGCGAAAATATATTGACGCCTGTTTATGTTGTCAATATTACAAACAACCAGCTGGAAAAAAACAAGGAATGCTTCATCCTATTGAGAAATCACCAGTCCCATTCCACACTCTTCACGTGGACCACTTGGGACCCTTTGTAACTAGTAAAAAGGGTAACAAGTACCTTTTTGTGGTGGTGGATGGATTTACTAAATATGTCATAGTGGAGCCTGTGAAGGACACACGTGCGAAACATGTCACACGCGTTCTACTAGACATAATGTATTTGTTTGGCGCACCAGTCCGTATTATTTCGGACAGAGGCACTGCTTTCACCTCCAAGGCATTTACTCTGTTTTGCCAAACATATGGCATCAAGCATGTCTTAAACGCTGTTTGTACACCGAGAGCAAATGGACAATGCGAGAGGTATAACAGGACTATCCTCAATGCTTTGGCAAGTACAGCCGCAGGGCAGCCTGAAAATAAATGGGACAAATTCGTCAAACAAATACAGAGTGCATTGAATTGCACATTTAACAAGCCCTTAGGAATGAGCCCAATGGAGGCATTGGCGGGGTACAGAGCTCGAAATGCTGCAGAGTCGTGCATCCTAAATGCAATCCAGGTAGACCTGAAAAGACTGGACTTACCCAAATTAAGGGAAGATATTGCGAAACGAATTACGGAAGACCAAAAACGGCAGAAGCAGAGATTCGACAAAGCTAGAGCCGTGGCCAAGCAGTATTGTGCTGGTGATCTAGTACTTGTACTGAAGACTGATTATCCGAGTACCGGTGAGAGTCGGAAACTTGTCCCAAAATATAAGGGTCCATTCCGCGTCACCAAGGTCCTGTTGAATGACAGATATGAAGTGGAAGACTTGCGTGACGGTGCCAAGAGGTCAAGCCGAACAGTTGTGGCAGTAGACAAGATAAAGCCTTGGATTGTCATGCAGGGTAAGATATAAACAGACCCTTAAAACGAATGAAAGGTACGTTATTGTAAGACGAAGGATTGATAGCGAGAGGTGAATGAGACAAATGGTTAGACGAAACCATCAGGCTTGTCATCTTTCTAAAGTTTTTAAATTGCTCTGTGAAATTTTCTCCTTGAGTGAAATGGGCATAATTTAAATGCCAGGTTCATCTAGTTTACAAATATGAGTGAAATGGGCATAAATTAAAATGTCAGGTTCACCTAGATTGAAACTCGAGTGAAAGGGTCATCACTTAAATGACAGATTCACCTAAGCTAGAATTCGAGTGAAATTGGTGTGATTTAAGCACTAGGTTCACCGGATTCGCAAACGCTAAGTTGTGACTAACAAAGAGTCATCAACTAGAGCGAAAGGAGCTTGAAAGAAAAGCTAGATTCTATCAAATTATAGAGTGAAACAAACACGCTTTGAGGTGTTAGATTCACCTTTAGGCGTTACCGTAACAGACAAAACATTTTTGTTCCAGACGCTATGAACCTGTAAGGATGAATTTCAGCCTGAGGACAGTCTGGAGAGCAGGATGGTCGAATGTTAGAATTGCCACCCAGAGGTGCCTCAAGTGTATCAAAATCTTTTGCAGTTCCTGACGATTAAAACAACCAGCCATACAACCAGCTTTGTCATTTGTTTATGTTTCGATATTATTTATGACTTATCGGAATCGATATAATATAAGCGAACATTTTGCGAATAGAGAAATGTAAAATAATGAATGAACAGTATGAATAGAGAACTCTGACTGTAAAAACGTACGTGTATAATCTTTCTTATATAAAAACATTATTTTGTATTGTGCCGGACATTATTTTTGAAATAACCCTCCTAACTTACACTTCTTTACGCACGGTAAGGTAAGTTCGTTTCATGCGAGTTGCTATGTAAGGAAACCATGCAACGGATGTCCCCCCTCTACTCGCAATGCAACGTTTGTTACAGGCAACTCCGGCATGTATAGTGTTAAATTTAAATTCATAGTGTACAAATAATACCATTAAATCAATTCCTTAACCCCTATCCCGGTATGTTTGTGTGTTTGAAGAAGTTTCACTTCAGTAGCGTGTTGTATAATTACACTTTATAGTTTTCAGAACACCTGAATACATAGAAATTATGAAAACATCCCGACAGCATTTCTCTTGCAGACCTGTGTTATTGTTCCTACATTCGATACCCTTAATTTAAAAATAAAAATACGATTATTCCATGGGTCACAATTATTGCATTCGAGTAATTATTTGAATCTTAAAGGTAAACGTAGTCAATTTCGCCCATCATTAGTCTCTCCCACATTTACCTCAATCTTTTACATTCGTAATTTATAATCACAATAAATTCTTACTTGATGTCGATTCACAGAAACTTTGAGTTCTTCCTCCATTAATACAAAAGTCAACATGACCTGAACGTCCAAGTTCTCCGTAATCGCCCGCATTTGTATGAAGGACATGAACGGCCGACGCATCACTACTGCTTAACCTTTGTGAGCGAGGCACTAACGGCCTGGCGGGATCTAACGCAACAATCCTGTGCATTCTAAATAAGATATTCCTAGATATCAGCCCACAAATATGAGCACCTGAAAATATTACACTGCAAATTCATATTTATATTTTTTTATAATTAATTACAAAATCTAATGTAAATACATAATCCATTGAAAACTGAAGATAACTTTATGTAAGAAAATAATAAATAAACAATAATTGAATATTAGGAAGGAATCTGACGTAACTTAATTTAGCTCCAACCTAACCTAACCGAACATATGTATGTTACATTTTTGCCCAGTATTTGGCCGGTCGGAATTTAGATTGTCGATGAGACATTTTGCCAAATCGGGGTCGTGTATCTCGTTATTATTATTATGATTTTTCTGGTCTTCCCAGTTTTCACTGACAACTTTGAGCAAGTGAAGACGGGTTTATGCCAAAGAACCTCACTCACATATTTTGGGATATAATATGGAAACCAATTTTCTGTTCTTAAATTTTAAAGAGTTAACAGTATTTCTTGCCCTGAATTATGATCGGTGATTATTAAAAACTCCGCTCCTAATTTAACCTCTTGTGTTTTCCGAAAACGGAGATATGTCAGTGTTGTTAAGAAATCTGCGTACTATTTCGCATGTATCAAGGATTACTGATTTCTGTTGACTTATATACGTAAGCTTATGCAGTTTCAACTCGGCTAGGCTAGCGTGTAATGTTTTCGGTTATAACATACGTAAAGTATACTTNCCATTGGTTTTAGCCCGTACAAATAACTATTATTATGAGTGTTATATGTAATAATCAGCTTGTTTATATGAAATAATGAATGGAGTCATCAAGTACGGCGCGTGCCAGCTAGAGCACATACGAGGTTTGTTCAAAAAGTATCGCGAATTTTGTGTTTTTTCAAAAATTATTTATTTATTCATGAATATTTATTTTGTCTCCTTCAATGTAATCCCCACCAGGTATTATACACTTGTGCCAACGTTTTTTTCCAAATCTCGAAACACTTCAAAAAAATAATTTCATGTGATCTTGTTCAGCTCCTCCTTCGATGCATAGCGTCGTTCTTTCATGGTTCTCTTCAGTTTCGGGAACAAGGAAAAGTTACAGCTGCTAGATCTGGGGAACACGGAGGCTTCGGCATTATTAGTGTGTTGGTTTTGGCCAAAAATTGGCGCACAAGCAACGATGTGTCAGTAGAAGCATTACGAGGGCGGTTCAATAAGTACACGTGTTAGAAATGAAGACACCTCTTTTTTTAATTTTTTTTTATTTTTCAACATAGTCCCCTTTTAGAAAGATACACTTTTCCCAACGTCCCTGCCATTTTTTTTACCCCTTCAAAAAATAAAATTTGTCGAACTCTCCAATCGTTATCGTGTTGAAAACGCACCTTCTTTTTCGTCAAATACGTTCGTGTCTCCTTCAATTTTTTGTCGAAGCGGTCCAATAACTTACTGTAGAATTGTCCAGTGATCGTTCTTGCTTTTCCTAAAATATCCGTAAAATGATTTATTAGGTTTACAACGTTTGCCAGGCTTCCTGGTCGTTCCTATCAAAAACGGATCTTTGCCCACGTTTAAATTCGTTGAACCAATATCTAACTGTGGCCATAGATGGCGAAATGTCTCCATAAACAGTATCCAACTTTGTTTTCATCTCCTCGCATTTTTTCCCATCCAAAAACAAAAAGCGAGTTACCAAACGATACTGCTCTTTTTCCATCTTATCGAAAATAACGAAACACGTTTCAGTTGAATGGTTGCCAAATCCAAACTAACTTATCAATCAGTCTGAAATTCGTTCTGGCGTGGTTTGATAGATGGCAGCACAACACCAATTTCCCTCAGGAACGTCCTCAGTCTTCAAACACGGGTACTTATTGAACCGCTCTCATATCATGGTGCAAAAGCCAATGTTTGTTCTTCTGGCGGATTGCTGTTCGCAAATTGCGCATAACATGCAAGTAATATTCTTTATTGACCGTTCAATTCTGTGGCAAGAACTCATGATGCACCACGCCCCTGCTATCGAAGAAAACTCGGGCATCTGGCACGCTCTTCGTCGTTTACATCTTCTCGACGTCTGAGAACATTTTGTAACACCGATAAACGTTGCTTCTGCCCAAGGTGGCTTTACCATATGCTGTAGTCAACATCCGAAACGCGTCCGCGGATTTAATTTTGCTTTTCACACAAAATTTGATACAGATTCTTTGATCCATTTTTTGGAATAGACAAAAATCGAACACGAGCCAAAACACGCGCAAGCAAAGCAGCTGTAAAAAATTAGCTGAACATTCAACATGGCCGAACTTGTCGGTATAAGCGAGAGACATGAGTACCAATATAACGTCACAAAAAAGTCGGAAATTGAATATATGTAACCCGCGAAAATTTAAAATATACTTTTAAAAAACTTATTGAACAGACCTCGTATGCATCTGCGAAGGCGGCCCCAATATGGTAAAAAAAGACTTAACACTATAATATTTTAAATATTGCATTTATTCTATAATGTGTACCATGTTTTCTTAGATTCTTATGTGAGTTAGTGGGTATATTATGCATAATTTTTAAATTGTCTAGTTTTTTAACAGTAACAATGATGAATAATACATGCTATGGAATTTTACAATAAAGGGAGAAGAGATACGAAAAATACTGATTTCATTTATGTGTATGTGTCGTCAGTCTAGCTTTTAATTTTTTTTTACTAGTAGGTCTAATTTCTTTCAAATTATTTGGAAGCCAGTTGTGTTTTAAGGTGGCAACGTAATGTTTCATAATTTTCAGTGCTTCAAGATTTTTTCTAGAGAAATATGAAAATACAATGATTTGCCAAATAGTGACACAGTCAATATTGTGTTCTGAGTATTATATTTTGCATTTTGTATACTCCTCGGAAGTGTGATGCCACAGGGCCCTTCATGTCCTAAAATCTAAATTGATTACATATCTCTCAAAGACGTAGTTCGAAAATATAAATCCGGTCGTTAAATGTTTGCTTGAGATTTTTTGTGATAAAGGTAGTTACAAAATTGAATTAAAAGTCTTGGACTATACTTTCACAGCTTGAAATGATCTATTTACATCTAAAGATTACCTTTCGTAACTATAAAAACGTTTGATGACCAAGGTTTTGAAATTTTCTAATTATTTTACGGGAAGATATTCTATTAACTCATTGTAAGTTCGAATAATTTGCGCATGTTTATATATATTCTACTTATTGTATTGTAAATACCTAAGGAATGCCCAACGCATGTGATTGTTTCCGACCTCAATCCTGAAGAACGAAGTGACATTAACAAATTTGAAGAACACCTGGCAATAAATTTAATATTATGCACTGCAGATGCGTAGCAAGGTGGTTGAGATAGCTTAAACCAATCAATCATCCAAACATTAAAACTCCCATTGTTGATATATGCTGAAAAATAAAAAGATGTCATGAAAACTGTTTCCTAAAGTGATAGATTTAAAAAACAATACGTAACGATATAGTATGAAATAGTAACTATTGTCCATTCTTCCCTTGTCTATAATAAACGTGAAATCAAAGCCAAAAGGGGTTAACAGTTATTTATTTTTTAATGACCACTCGCCAACATTTAACTCTAAATTATCTCGCTAACTCAAGGCCAGCTTTTGAGGTTATAAATATATATATTATATAATGTATATCATAGCTATGTGCAAATGACAATTTCCTGTAATAAATTGTCACATATAGGTAACTCAATGCACAATGTCACGTATAGGCAACATAAGATACATAGTGATAAAGAAGATCAGATTTTCTTGACGTCACATTCTGGATGTTTTTAGACCAAGACCAATAAGTAGTTGCTGCGTGGTTGGAACAGAATAGTACCGAGCGACATGGCCTAGAGGTTTAAACCGTTGCTTAGCATTCAGGAGGACGCCGGTTTGACTCTGAGTCCGTGTCTTGGTTCAAGTTTTTCTGTGATTTCCTTGGATCACTTAGGCAAATGTTGAGACAGTAATATTCCACAGATAATCTTTCACCCTCTTCTGTCTTCATTTCGTCCGTCTCATCTTTCTCACCCGAACCGCCACCCACCCAAAAGTTTTAAAGCTTTTTTCGGGACAGTTAATACGAGTTCGAGTTATAAGGCAATACAAAGCGAAGTAGAAAGAACTAAGAAGTAATAAAGTATGCGATATATTGGTAAATTAGTAATTAATTAATAATAGTGGTTAAAAAGAGTAAATGTTATACAAATTAGTGAGTAGTCAAAAAGGTGCTTGATTACGCGACAGTATACATTTCTTGCATTAAACTAAGGAATATCATATTTATATAAGCTGCTGCACAAATAGGGACGCATTCTCATTGGTTCGACATTTCCATAAAGCATCACATGAGAAGAAATTCGAACTTCGCCGTGTCAAAGGCCGTAACACAGTTGATGATCGAACAGAGCGAGCAGTACTGATTAATACTGGCCAATAGGCCGTTTCTTTCAGTTCACCCTAAAACACAACCTGGAGTTTATTGTGCGTTCTGAGGCAAAATGGGGTTTGACATTGTCATGCAAAAGAATAATTTTTAGGATCAAGAATTTTGATTTGTTGGTATAATGGGAGTATCGTTTCATCCGAAAGCTTGCAATTATATGTGGAATAGGTATGTTTAAAATTCCCAAAAACGGTTATAGGCACTTTGTCAGTTGAGAGTCGAGTTGTGCCTCAATGGGTTAAACTTTTCCCAGCTTCTTCCATTCCGTAAATAATTTCATGTTTATTCTTTGGGGTGTAGTGGTGGACGGTGGATCCATGTCTCGTGGTAGACAGCTATTTGTTGCAGAAAAGCATTTGAATATGTTTGGTAAAGGATCAGTAGTAGTTGGCATACTTCAAGACTGTGATGTTTTCGTTAGCTTGTGATAAGTCGATGATTAATTAAGGTATCAACTCAACATGCAATTTTTGAAAATGTTAAGTGACGGTCGTATTCGATAATGCAGCGAACGATGTTAATGTTTTACTTAGTAACATTTGTTTTCGGGTGTCTTGGTTGACTTTCCATTATCTTTTTATATCACTCGTACACTTATCAAAAAGACAAAAATCACTCCAAATTCCCTTTTTAAATTTCCATATCCTTGTTGAACGAATTATATTTTTTTTATAATAATTTCCTTGTACTTCATCCTTGTTTATCATTCCTCTTGTTCCAGCTCACCTGTCCGTCTTCTAGGAATTTAATTAATTATTCCGAGGTTTACATTTGTGTTAATTTCTGGCTACTTCCTCAATTACTGGCGTACTTAAAAATCTGTTAGGACATTTTCACTTAGAAACCTAATCGTAACTCTCCACCCCTTACTGTACTACTATGTATACTTTGTTTAGTTTCTGTAGCGATGTGACCTTCAGTTTGACCGGCGCAAAGTAGAAAAGAACAGCACTAGACCAGAAAAGAAAGGAGACAACTCTCGGCCAAACTCTTAACCGGTGAGGAGCGTATAATCCGTACAGTAC